AAGAGAAAGAGAAAGAGAAAGAGAAAGAGAGAGAGAGATTATCTGCTCAAAACTTCAACATGTGTTAAGTTCGCAATTTAAAAATATCAAATTTTTAATTACTTGAGGCGTTTTCGAACATACTGTGCTACTGTCATTAGTACACTTAAATTCAGAACCATTTGACAGAAGTTTGTTCTATAAATTGAAAAAATTAAAATAAAATTATCTATTAAATATTATATTTCCTTGTTACATTCGTTAAAAAATTTAAGCTTGCAAAAATTGTTATTACTTTTCTGCGGGACAGCATTAGAAGTTGACATTTAATAATGATGTATTAATTTAAGAATCAACTAATAGTTTAATTAACTTCCTATTCAGTTCATATATTTGTTTAATTAGTTGAATGACTTACGATAGGAAGTGGAACAATCGGTTCATCAAGCATATTTCGAGATTCTTCCAGTTTTTTTAACGCTTTCTGGATATCGTCGTCATCATAAATCTTCACCGCAGTAATAAAATCAAAATCATCTCTCTTATCACAATTACTCAAATCACTAGCTGATTCCACTGCTGAAGTAGCATTCTTATTCCTGAAACCTTTAAATTGAAAATTAGATTTCACTTTGCTTTAGAATTTGAAATAATAAAATGTCCTTCTTCATCTTTAATTTTAAAAAAATTCCGAAAATTTGATTTAATTGTTTCTTTAAAAGAGTAATTTAAATGAAGAAAAGAATTGAACTCAGAATAATGATGAAAAATTTGATGGCCATTCGTTGATGCTTCAACCGGAACATATATCGGATCCAACATTTTAATTCGGGAAGCCTGCAAAGCTAAATCATTATTCAGTTAATTTTGATCATATTTATCTGTCTATATATCTCTCTAATTCATTCTAATTTGTTTTAATTTAAAATTAGCATTCCATTGGAAGTTAACGTATAACTTCGAGACATTTGCATATAAAGAACTAATTGCGCAGATATTATTAGTATTGTATGATATAGTAGAGAAATAACTTTCAAGAATATATACATTAACAAAAATGTATTGAGTAACTCAGATGTTACGTGGCAAATTTTATGATAAACAGCGCTATGATACTGCAAGTAAACTTTCAGAAACTGGTTTTAATTGATGATGTTGTTGTAATTCAGAATGCTTCCTATTCTGACATTCAGCTGTTCGAGAATAATAGCAAATGCAGAAAAAGAAACAACAAAAAGTCCAATTTCGAGAATTCGTTTTTCACAATTGGTAAATATTTTTTTCTGGTTCTGTCAACAAAAGTGTCTTTAAATTGATCCAAAAAAATGGACTCCTTGATGGGAAATAATAAATTATTACATGCTCTGATATTTCAGCCACAATTTAGTATCAGTCAATTGCGCATTTATTTACAGTTAAAACAAAAGCACTAAATTGTCATCTCTTTCAATCACTTCATTTATCTGATAATATTCAAAACTAAAAGCTTTAAAAAAATCTAAAAAAAAAGGTTCCATTACATTCTTAAAAAAAAACAAAGGTTCCATTACATTCTTTACTTTTTCATTAGAATTTTGGAAAATAAAATTATGTTACAGATATACCTAAAAATATTTTTTCATGAAATTCAATAATATGAAATTAATAATATTCACAGCAGTTTTACCAATTAACATCATTCTATTAAGTACTTTAATTAAAGATAAAACTATCAGAAATAGCAAAATAACAGTGAAAAATTATAAAATATTATATAGCAAATATATAACTAAATGTAAAAATGAATGTTCGAAAATTTCAGCAAAAAAATGCATCAAAGAAGTTACGGTGAGTAATTCGCCCGGCTCATCGCCACTAGCAAATACCATAACTGCATGAGCGTATCGCGGTCTCTCGATGATTAATTCTGTGGATTCTTCATTCAAATGATCCATCATCGTATCCAAACGTGCTTCGAATGCACGTAATTCCATATCAGCCATGCTGCTAAAATCACCAATAAACCAATAAAATCAGAGACTGATTCTTTAATTAATTCATTTGAATTAAAAAAATCATTTCAAGAAGGACAATAAACTCAAAAGAATTTTTATTATTCCAGTCTTAATCAATTTGTAACTGAAGCATAATGTTAAGTTGATGTATCTGTTAGTGACAGAATATAAAATTAAATTGATATATCTGTTAATGACAGGTTATAAAGTTGAATTGATATATCTGATTGAAAAAGCGACAGATTGAAAATTATTTTCGGAAAAAGAATGTTGATGAGAATGGAAGAATGCAAACAGTTGATTTAATGTTATGAAATATTACTTCTTTATATAATTTAAACTAAGCGATACATATCCGTTCCTTTTCATCACACTTTTCAGGCAACTAAAAATTTTCTATATTTTGAAATTTACTCGAAATTATAAGATGCCATACTATTTTCTGGAAAATGAAAGCTTTGAAATCACATGTAAAAGTAACAAAAATTTGAGAAACTTTGATTATGAAATTTTGAAAATCAATTTACAATAAATCCAAATAATAAAATTTTCCAAGACTTTGCAGAAATAAATAGGTAAATTATTACAATAAATTTCATGTTTATTTCTATTTATTTTTTAAATTAACCAAAAAAAGATCATCCAAAATTTACATTTCTTCAATTGCTATCTATCTGATGACAAAAGAATTTTTTGTCAAAGAAATTTACATTCAGAAAATAAAAAAAATTTGAGCAAAAAAAATTGTCATTCCTCTCGAATCATATCCATCATTAGCTCAATTTCCGCATAATTATATTTTCTATTACAACGAAGACTTTTCATTTCAGAACTTCTCGAAGAGTTTGCTTTTCAGTAAAGTGTGTAAATATTTGCAAAAAAAAAAAAATTATAAACTTATTTTAACGGTTTTTTTCTTCGTGAATTAATCATCAAATAATCTTTGCACTGTGTTATAAATTCACGAATTTCGGTAAAATACGAATTTCGCCTGATTATCCATCAAATGAATTACAATGACTTAAATAAATTCAGATATTTCATAAATCTCCAAGACTTGTATGATGAAAATAAAAGATAGCAAAGATAGTGATAACTGTATTCATTTCACATCTTCTAATACTGCTAAAAAGAGAAATATCTCGTGCATCAATCAATATTAAATTTTAATTTCATAAACTTAAATAAAAATGCCAACAATCTTAGCGAGGTTATTTTCGCGTTAATAAAAATATGCGATAATCGCAAAAAGGAATGATACTAAAAAATACTTGTTTTCTTATTTTTTTCTAATTATACAGTGCAAAAACGCATAAAAAAGCTAATTTCATCTGCTTGACATGAAATTAGTCGTTTTATGTGTTTTTTTTCTATGTGAATTTACTAAATAATAATTAATAAAAATAATAATAACTTTGTGACATCTACGCAGGTAGCCATTAAATTGAATTAAAAATGAACAAATTTTGTCAATACGAGTTTGCAAATAGAATTAAAGGATTATAGAAAAAAAGAGATCCAAACGTGTGCTCATTAGATTAAGGCTGCTTATTACAGCAGATTTTTTCAATATATAAATTTAGATAATATTAATAACAAAAATTAATAACAGAAGGTATATGTGATAATATCTAATAAGTGTTTGCGAAATTTCACTATTGAATTTTACACTCCATTAAAATATAGCTTTGTGAGAATTATTTCGTTTATTCAATATTTCAAAGGTAGTTAAAAAGAATGAGTAATGAAAAAAGATTCAGAAGGCAAATGGAAAAAGTTTGAAAAAAGATGTTCTTAAATTTTCTTAAATTTTTGACCAAAACCAGTTTTCAAATTTTTTCAATCTAAAAGAACACATAATTTTGCAATTATTCTTCAGAGATATCAAATTTTAGTTTGATATCTCTGAAGAATAATTGCAAAATATCAAATCGTAGCTAAACTCAAGCTAAACTATGTTGCAAATCTTTATCAAAAATGTTGAATGTAAGCAAATTTTAATAAGGAGAAGAAGCTAACTGGAAAATATAAAGCTACAATAAGAAAAATAAGAAATATAAAAAACAAGAGACCCCGCGGTATCAGTACTAATTAAAGAATTAATAATTGGCAATATACGAAAAGATTAATGTAAAACAGAAATAGAATATGCCGGGGTTCAATAACGGAATCAATGCTTATTCACCATTGCTCTCAATTATCGGTGCAACGGTAAAAAACATGAAACTAAAGAAACAAATCGCAATAAAGATTTTCAGTCCACGAACTATTATTTCTGATTGAAATTTGAATACAAGCCATATATAAATAATAATACATTGCTAATTTATAGATAGTGATTTCAATAAAGCAAATGTTGAAATTTTACGATCAGGTAGTTTTTTACACACGCGCAGGTTAATAGAATGATGAACTGCGCAAATATTTATAAATGTACAATAATTCACTTCACATAATACATAACACTTCAAGAATTACTGCTAATTGTTTTCACAAATATTCATCACTTTCCGCTATCAATCACATCTCTTCTGAATCTTCTCGTCATCCGTCTGTCATCATTTCTAATTCTCCTCTTCCTCATACATTCCTCAATCGAATTAATTTTGCATATATTAACAAGAGATAGAAGTGTCAGATAGAATTCTCAAACGCTTTCCTGTGAGGTAAAACTGAAAAGTATTAATAAAACTACTGGTGATATTATGTCATCTGAATTATCTATGTAAGATTTTCTTTTGATTTTTATTTTTTGCATTTATATTACTTATTTTTCAAATATTGCTCTCACGTATATAACTGATCCTTGGCTTATTTTCCTCAAGAATTCGTTCCTTTTTTTTGAATTTTCTAAAGAAAAAAATTACAATTTTGATTAATTTTCATTTACTTTATTGCTTTTGGATAAAGCTACAAGCTTATTCGCCCCTCAAAACTGTTTGATATTCAGCTTAAAGCTGTTTGCTACCGCTAAGCTGATTTTACATTTGGTAGCAAAATTGCATCATTCAATTTAGATTTCGAAAAATTACATATATCATTGAAAAATTGATAAGGAGAATTCGCGCATCACTGAAAGTGGACAATCATTCATGGCAGATTTTTCTCGTGTGCAATGAATAGAGATATTTTATTATTCGGTTTTTTTTAAATTGTTATGATGCAAAGTCAGGCTACAAATGTAATGTGAAGTTGCATCTGCGAAGATAATTTTAGTATTAAAACAAAATGAATGATATC